TCTTGAGTGTAAAATGAAGCCCCGGAAATCCAATTTCCAATGGTGGTGGCCTCATAGCTGAAATCCAAATGTGCAAAAGGATAAGCCTGATTTAGCGAGGGCTACTCGACTCTTTGTTAACGGTTCATGCCCATCTTCTTCCCCAACTAGGTTTCTTTCCTTCTCTCCTCTTTTCTTTAACTTCAAACCTATAAACAAGATGTTTTAAAGATTTTTCCAAGGAGTTCACCTCTCTTTCATGCATTTCACTTTGTCCTTGCTCGGTTTACCGAAAAGCGCAACATTTAACGAAATGCGAGCCTTGGAACATCGTAGGAACTTGTTTTCAAAAATATTTTGAAAGAGAGGGTTTTAAGGTCTAAAATCTTTTTGGTCCAAAGATGGGGTGTAAGGTTGGGGTTTGACGCTCTCCTTGCCGAAGAAATTAAAGTTTTGCACTGCACACCTTTCATCACCAAGTAAACCATCCGTGGTGCCCATGTCTTAAGGGCGGTTAAAAATGAGGTGTCTACACATGTATTATTAATTCTTACAATCAGCTCTCTTAATCGCCCACTACAATATTCCTTCTCCAATCCTCACCACCACTATCATTCACCCAAACCCATATCACTGCCTTCCCTTCCTCTATCTCCACTTCATTCGTTTCTCTCTATCCGTCTCCATCATGACTAGACACCATTGTAATTTTTGCAGAACTGAAACTAAAGAACCAAAGAGGAAAAGTCTATTTCTCCACAATTTGTGTACCGAAACCAGAGAACCAGAACCAACCACCGAGATTGCGATCTGTGGCCAAGACTCTTTGAAATGTTCCCTAGTTTAATAATTACAACAAAATTGAAACTATGAGGATCAAAATAAAATCTCGCTCAAAATAGAGAGAGCCAGTGGTATAATTTACCCTTAAATTAGGTGATTTAGAGTGACCCCGGCAACTCTCTAACAATAAACACTATTTTCATAGAACTTGAATAACAATTGGAAATATTAAAACACATTGAGTATTATCACAGTGAATCTATGCATCTAGCAGTTCACATCATCCCCATCTGCATTGACAAACACAAACACAAAGTGACGAACATGAAAAAACCTCACATTTCATATTCACTTATTTATGGGGTATCATAAGTTTCTCCACAAAAGATTTGTTATCCAAACCCTTGCTGAAGAAATTATCGTGAAATTCTTTGTGTGAGAAGTTTCGATACAGAGCTGGTTTCTCAGCTGTTAAAAGCTCTAGAAATGGTCCGTAGCGATGAATTTCATCCTTCTTATCCAAGCTGAAGAATTCAACAACTAATATTCGAGGTTTCTTCATGGAATTAGCCAATACACGATACTCTACGCTTCTATACTCTCCATTTGACATAATTTGAAATATGTGAAGTCTTATCACTAAACATAAAATTAAAAAAATCCAAAATATTAATAAATATACGTTAGACTCAAAATTTTGTTAGAGATAATTAGAAAATCAAGTTAAAATTTTGTTAACATATTGCATTTTCCATATGTATATAAATACCTAAATTTTGGTTGATCATATGTAAACTTTTTGCGCGGGAATGATGTGCCATTGGGGCACTCTTGAAAGTACAATCTACACCCATGTATGTATCTATATTTTGAAAATGGAATTATGGAAAGTTTGTGGGTGATTTTATTTGTACCTAAAAAATTCAGAAATGATAAAGACCCCTTTTTCCTTGACCCCCACAACCCTCATAGATACATGTCAATGAGTGATAGGAGAAAGAAAAAAACAAAAAATAAAAAGCAAAAAGCAAAAAGTTGGCCAATCCCAATACATTGGGGGTGGTGGGAGTCAAGGAAAAAGGAGGTCTCAACCTTTTTCCCCAAAAATTATTCAGTACGCTCAATTTTTTAGTACTTCCTATTAAATTATTTATGATTATAATTTACTTTCAATACATCCTATGCTTTTTCACAAATTACCCTTCAAGATAAAATCATAATTTGTGCTATACCCAAATAATAAACAAATTAACTCAAATTATCATTCAAGATAAAATCTTTCTTCTTCTTCATCCTCATTTTCTTCTTTTCGTTCAACTTAATTGGCTTAGCATCCTGATTCAAGAAGTAGTGTCATAAGCAACAAATGAAGCCTTGGGTTTATGTTTCTCGGCCTAGGGTTCATGTTTGATTGGATTGATAATGGAAGAGGATTTCCTCTCCTCTACAACAATTGGGTCCTTTGGTTTTGACGTGGTTGGCTTGAAAGAACTTAACAAAAAAATTCTACAAACCCAGATGTTTTATTACGCAATTAGAAAGAAATATACAATTGAATCCTTCCTTATTCTTGTATTGAACGAGAAATCAATATAAACAAACAAATCATGAAAGGAAAAAACTATTATAAGTAATCATTCATGTGTCTCAAATTGAAAGAGGATTCAAACTTGGGAAGAAGATGAAAAAATTTGAACATTAAAAATATGTATAAGTGATTAGGGTACATTTTTTTTTAGAATTTAATGTTGAGAGGGCAATTTATGTCTAAATAAGGCCGAGCTAAATCCATCTGTTGAATGGATCGAGCTAGGTTCGTTCCCTTGGTTATTGGGCCGCGCTGTGAGCGAAAATTAAAATAGGTTAAGCTAGATCATAGACTGGACGGGGTATTCGGCCCAAGGCTTGAATTGAGGTGGTTATATCAAAGTAGGACCGGGGTACGATGGTGTGGTGTTCCGGAGTGGTTATCTCGGTTAAAGACTGCCCTGGTTGGAGGACTCTATTGAAAAGAGTTGGAGTCCTACTAGGATTGTGCCAAGTAGAATCTACAAAGCTCATACAGGACCTATGTACAGGTAACACAATTTTTACTCTAAAATACATAGAAATTTTGTGTCTATTGTCTATTTGCTAACTTAGGCATCGGAGAGGTTTCTGGCACACACCCGTCAGCTAGCTCAGGTTTGTGTTTTTAGGTAGTAAAGCGACGACGTTTGGAGGAGTGTAAACTTGATCAACAGGATTATATGAGAAGATTATTTCACGCTCGTACAATTGGAGCCGTCTGTGGGAATACACAAAGAACAAAACCTTTTGATCAAGCTTCCTCTTTAGTTAAGATCAATGGTGCACAACGAAGACTTACCACATTCTGTTATTGATGGACAGACCCTGGAGGGAGGTGAGAGGTGTGAAGGATTACCTTTTATCCTACCTATGATAGAATTAGAACCCCAGCGACGGAACCTACGGAGAGACACACGAGAGAGATGGGGCTCAAGCCCTCGTCGCTCTCAAAGCCCTGACAAGCAAAAGCGAAGGTTGGATTCTCAGGTTCTGGAGGATTGCGTAAGGGAGCAAGACGAGTTGATACGGAGAATGGCGGTAGACATGGAGACAATGAAGCGCCAGATAAAGGGCAAAATGGTGGCAACAGAAGAGGGGCGTAGAGGCAACACACACTCTTACCACTCAGAAGATCGTGACAGACAAGTCACATTGTCACAAGCTGAAAGTAGAAGCCTCAGGACAGGCGATACACAATCAAGGACTTCCAGGACTCGTTACTCCAGGTCTGAGAGAACGAGGACTGAAAGGTCCTATACAGAAAGAAGCAGTTATAGGCCCTCGCACTCGCACCAAACGACCCAAACGACATCTAGGCACACGTAATTGCCTAGATCGGCGGACCTGAGGACAGTGCTTGAGGAAAGGGCTCGAAGGAGAGAAGACACTCAGGCTTGCAACCTCCATAGAGTCTCCGCACTACAACGGTTGGCTCCTAGGACACATGAGAGTGTCGAGATTGGAAAGCCAGAGCCGCGCCTTACCTATGAACCAACAGACAAAGCGTTAGCAAGATTGTAGAGCTCACCATTCGTTTCGGCGATAGAGAATACACCATTACCCTCAGGCTTCCACCAGCCCAACTTCACTATTTATAAGGGAAAGTCGAACCCTTACATGCACTTTCGCCACTTTCGCCAGGTTATAGCAGTGTATCGGCGAAACGAGGCTCTAATGTGTATCTTGTTTCCTTCCAGCCTTGGTGACCTGGGTCTAACATGGTTTGAGAGGTTGCTAGAAGGAAGCATAGCTTTATGGGCGCAGCTAGCAGAGACATTTGTGACCAGATTCAAAACAAACACCAAGACGCCAGTGGAGATTGACTAGCTACTCTCCATTGACATGGGCGAGAAGGAAACGTTGAAGTCTTACAATAGTCGATATTGGGAGACTTTCAATCAGATTGGGGATTGCCCCATAAACCTCGCCATCACACAATATAAACGAGGTTTATCGACAGCTAACAAGTTGAGGATTCAATAATGATGATGCCAACCTTCACAATGGTGGCCCTAATGGAGAGAGTACATCAGCACATCCTGGTAGAAGAAGATAGCGCCCGCGCTAAAGAAAAATCTGGCACAACAGCGATGCCGGATAGAAAGACTGCAGCAAAAGTCAACACAGTAGAACAACCGAGCAAGAATGGACGAGGCAGACGAGCCAACAGAGAGGACCCCCAAGCAAGGAAGTTGAGAGTTTGCACTGTCATTACCACGGTATTCAACAAACCTATCTAATAGATTTTTAGCGAGATACGTGATGAACCCTTCGTTCGACGGCCAGCCAAGTTGGGAGAAGCACAAATGAGCTACGATGATAGATACCGTTGCACCTTCCATGATGAAAAGGGGCACTGAATTGAAAATTCTACACCGTTGAGGCAACATTTGGAGGAGTTAGTGGCCACTGGTCACTTGGACCAGTATATAGAGGGGGGAACACAGCTAGCTCCCCAGGACTGCAACATGCCAAATGGGATGCTGGTTGACGGTCCACCCCAAGGCATAATCAACGTAATACATAGGATCGTCGAACTCGAGCGGGTATGTGAGCTTAGAGGGATAATAAAAAAGGCTAAGCATTTGGGAGAGGTACTAAGTGCACAACCTACCGTCAAAAGGAAAAAAACGGAGGCAACGAACGTTGTCTCCTTTTCTGACAAAGACATGGCAAGGCTACAATGCCCTCACAACGACGCACTAGTGGTCACTTTGTGCGTCAAGAACTTCGACATCAAGCGAATCCTAATTGACCAAGGGAGCTCCTATGAGATCATGTACTACGAGACTTTCAAGCAACTAAAATTGGAGGACAGAGACTTGGCACCCATAACATCTACCTTAGTCAACTTCAATTTAATGCCTGAATGGCCGGTGGGCAAGATAATTCTGCCGGTCAAGGCAGGAACGATGATGAAATATGTGGAATTTTTGGTATTGAAAGTCCCTTCCACTTACAACATAATCTTGGGAAGAGTATGGTTACACGCCATGAGATCAGTTGCATCAACCTACCATCAGATGCTACGGTTCTCCAATGAAACCAGAGTGATTGAAGAAGTCTTAGGGGACCAATCATGTCAAAACAGTTCTTTGTCATAGTAAACGATAGCCGAGCTGTAAAAGGGTTTGTACAGATGGTAGAAGAGCCAGAAAACAATGAATTGTTCGCAAACGTCGGCAAAATAGCCGAACAGAAGGCAGTGGAAGACTTGGTGGAGGTAAGGATAGATGAAAAAAACCCAAAAAAGTTCTTTTTGCTCGGCTTGTCTCTGTCCAGCACTAAGAGAATAGAGATCATGGAATTTTTGACCTTTAACATCGAAGTATTCGCCTGGACGCCATATGACATGCCTGGTATTGACCCTAATTTCATCTTCCATCAACTTAATGTCCATCTAACTGCCAGACCAATTATACAGCGAACTCGCCGATCGGCACTCCACCACGTAGAGATAGTGGCGGAGGAAGTGGGAAACTTGCAGGAGGTAGGAGCAATTAGAGAAGTACACTATCCCTAGTGGATTTTCAACACTGTAGTGGTGCCAAAAAAGAACAGCAAATGACGCGTCTGAACGCATCTAAATGCGCATTTGGCATAGGGTCAGTCAAATTCTTGGCTTTCTAGTGACCAACCGGGGTATAGAAGCCGATCCCTCTCAGATCAAGGCCATCCAAGATCGAGAGAGGGCCAACACGGTCAAGGAGGTACAATATCTCACTAGCCTAGTAGCCGCACTAAACCGATTTATAAGTCAGTCGTCAGACAGGTGTCGACCGTTCTTCCAGGCACTAAAGGCTAAGTTTGAGTGGGATGATGAGTGCGACCGCGCCCTGCAAAGCTTGAAAGACTACATGACCTCTCATCCGTTGTTGGTGACTCCAGTACCAGGAGAGGAGCTCTTTTTGTACTTAGCAATATCCCAACATGCAGTTGGCACAGTGTTGGTGAGAACTGAGGGAATACAACATTTGCCTATCTTTTATGTGAGTAAGACAATGCTGGGCACTGAAACAAGATATCTGCCATTGGAAAAGCTGGCCTTAGCTTTGATGATGGCCTCAAGAAAATTGTCACACTGCTTCCATGCCCACACCGTAATTGTCTTAACGACCTTCCACTTAAAAGCCTTGTTTGAGAGGGCAGATTTTTCTAGATGAATTTTGAAGTGGGCAATGGAGTTGGGGCAGTTCGACATTAAGTTTCAACCAAGAATTGCAATAAAGGCCCAAGTTTTGGTAGACTTCGTGGCCAAGTTCGCACTAGGAAGTCATTATATTTACCCAATCGACTTGACCGAGGCAACCGAAAGAAGGGAGGGAAGTGCCACAAGAACAGTGCAGCCCCCAAAACTGGACACCCAATTGCGTAGTAAGCCATTTAGGCCTGAAGAAAGGGAAGAGGGAACAGACCGCAACACTACCAGCAAGGACTCACCCAAAAGCAAAGTCTTGAGACAGTGAGGATCAAAGACCAACGACAGACATTAACCTGGAAGAAGACATCAACAACGCCCCTGATCCCAAGACATCATCCGATCCCTCCACTTGCTGGAAGCTATTCGTCGGAGAGATGTGGAAACTCTTTGTGGATGGAGTATCCAACAGGTACGGTGCAAGACTTGGCATAGTCCTCATCTCACCGGATGGCCTAACAATTGAACAGGCAGTCAACCTTGGCTTCCCAGCATCCAACAACGAGGCGGAGTATGAAGCATTGCTAGGAGGTTTAAAATCAACACTTCGCATGAAGGCCACCGAGCTGATGGTATACAGTGACTTCTAGGTGGTAGTCAACCAGATTTCAGGCGACTGTGAGGTGAATGATGATAGGATGACTAAGTACCAAGACTTGGTCAGAAATGAGATCATGAAGTTTAAAGTAGTTCGGATAGAGCAAATCGGCCGGGAGGAAAATAGTAAAGCAGATGAGCTGGCCAGTTTTACGTCAATGGCAGATACATCTATCCCACACCCATTGCTGATTGACTTCCTACCCAGACCAAGTATTAAAGAGCCTGAAGTAGCTGAAGCATGTTGTGCCGAGCTAGGCCCTTCTTGGATGGACCCCATCATAGTATTTTTAAAAGATGGCATTTTACCTGAAGAAAAGAAAGAAACCAACAAAATTAGAACAAAATCACAGCGATTTTGGCTCTCTCTATCACTAGCATTGTACAAAAAAATCCTTCACAAGACCTTACTTGAAATGTGTCTATCCCAGTAAGGTCGAGGCATTTTTGTTCGAAATACATAAAGGCGTCTGCAGAAGCCACCAAGGGGGGAGATCGCTGGCCTACAGAGTGATTTCACAAGGATGTTGGTGGCTGTACATGCAAGCAGATTCAGAGCAGTATGTCAAGAGATGTGAGAAATGTCAAAAGTTCGCACACTAAATACATCAATTTGTCAGAGAGCTTCTACCATTGACCAGCCCGTGACCCTTTGTAATGTGGGACTTAGATATAGTAGGACCACTTCCAACTGCGCCAAGCAACAGAAAATTCTTTCTTGCAACAACAGACTATTTCACAAAATAGGTGGAGGCAGAAGCACTCGCATCCATAAAAGAAAGCGATATCAAGAAGTTCATCTGGCAGAACATTATAACTCGGTTCGACATACCCAAGGCTTTAATATCCGAAAACGACACTCAGTTTGATGGCAAAATCTTTAGGGGCTTTTGCGAAGAATACAAGATAGAATTCTACAACTCTACACCGGCGTACCCCCAAGCTAATGACTAGGCTGAGGCTTCCAACAAAGTAGTCTTAAACGGTCTAAAAAAGAGGTTGGAAAAAGCAAAAGGCAAGTGGGCTGAGGAACTTCCCCATGTTTTATGGGCTTACCGTATTACACCTCGATGGCCAACTGGCGAAACAACTCTTTCATTGGCTTATGGCATGGAGACAGTAATCCCCCTGGAAGTGGGCCTCCCCACTATTAGAAGCGAAAATTTTGATCCAAACTTGAATGGAGAGGCCATAACGCTAGAACTCGACCTCACAAAAGAAAGAAGGGAAAGGACATTGATGCGCATTGCTTCATATCAACAAGAGTTATCTAGAAAATACAACAAAATAATGCACCCAAGACAATTCAAGATTGGAGATTGGATACTGTGCAAAGTAATGGGCAACACTTTGCTACCTGGAGATGGCAAGTTAGGGCCTAATTGGGAAGGACCATACAAAGTGATTGGTTTAGCGGGAAAATGAGCATATCACTTAGAAGATATGGACAACAAAGCTATTCCCAGGCCATGGAACACGGCCAACCTCAAATTATTTTACTTTTAGCTTTTTCTTAAAACACTTTTAATTTTTTTTTTTTTTTTTGCAATAAAACAAGTAGCTTTTTTTTAGTAAAATTCTTTCCTTTGTGGAAGTTGTTCATAGTTATTGCCAACTAGGGGCAATCAAAAAGGTTGGCAGATTTGACCAACACTTAGTTTTCTTCTTCAGCCAAGATAAGGATCTAGGCTCAAGAAGGTTGGCAAGTTTGACCAACACACTTTGTTCTTCAGCTGAGATAAGGATCTAGGCTCAAGAAGGTTGATAGGTTTGACCAACACACTTTGTTCTTCAGCCGAGATAATGATTTAGGCTTAAGGAGGTTGGCAGATTTGACCAACACTTAGTTCTCTTCTTCAGCCAAGATAAGGATCTAAGCTCAAGAAGGTTGGCAGGTTTGACCAATACTTAGTTCTCTTCTTCAGCCGAGATAAGGATCTAGGCTCAAGAAGGTTGGCAGGTTTGGCCAACACTTTTCTTTCTTCAGTCGAGATAAGGATTTAGGCTGAAGAAGGTTGGCAGGTTTGACCAACACTTAGTTCTCTTCTTCAGCCGAGATAAGGATCTAGACTCAAGAAGGTTGGTAAGTTTGACCAACATACTTTTTTTTTTCTTCAGCTGAGATAAAGATCTAAGCTGAAGAAGATTGACAAGTTTGACCAACACTTTCCTTTCTTCAGCCGAGATAAGGATCTAGGCTAAAGAAGGTTGGCAGGTTTGACCAACACTTAGTTCTCTTATTCAATCGAGATAAGGATCTAGGCTCAAGAAAGGTGGCAGGTTTGACCAACACTTATCTAGATCTTGAAGTTGTCATACGGCCGACATACTTATCTCGGCCAAAAAAGATGGGCAGGATAGGGGAAGGCCAAGCTGAATTAGGCCAGCTAGGCTTGTAAAAAAAGTTAGTTCATTAAAGGAAAGAAGTGCGGTGACTAAACAAAAAGATCAAATAAAAGATTCATTCATTGGAAATTCAGTACAAGAGAAGGGGCTCGTATCCCGGTTACATTTTTCATTGAAAGTAAAAAATAAAAAAAATCAGGCAAAAAGGTCATCCAAATCGACATCTAGATCAACCCGGGCTTTGGCACTCGGTAGGCTGGTTTCAGCGGAGACTTCCTGGGCTATGTCGGCTACAGGAACCCCTTCAACTGTACTTAGCACTGATTGGCTGAGCGGATCCACCTAAGCTGCCTGAGAAGGATGGAGACCGAGGTCAATGTTTGCTGGTGGGGTATTATTGGGTTCTAGGGATTCTTCTTCCTCTTCCTTTTGGAGAAGCTTTTGTTGGACCGCATTGGCATAGTCTGCCATGTAGCTTGGTATGAAGTGAGGGGGAGGATTAAGAAAGACCTCGGTGTCTTGCCCCTGCCCGAGCTTGACAACCGCAGCCTTCCACCAGCATTTGAAAAAAATGTCTTTAGTAGCCTCACACTACAAGACATAGGTTGCCTCCCCTTCTTTGTAGCCTCGTTCCTCAGCATATTCTATCTACTTCTTTAGCTTAGTGACCTCAACATTCTTCTTCTTTTCCAACTTGGCCAATTCACACAAGTAGCGATCTTTTTTCTCGGCCAACGTTTTTTGCTTATCGACCTTCGCTGTGTTGACTAGTTCAGTCAGATGCATGTTTTCGAATTCCAACTTGGTCAACTTTAGTTGGGCCTCCTTCAGTTCGGCCGCCTTAGCGTTTGTATCAGCCACAACCAACCGAGCGGTCTTGCGGAGCTCAAGCACACGCTTGTGGGCCATGTAGTTTTTCTGCAAAGCCTGCAAAGGGGAAAAGTAGTGGTTAGAATAAACTGA